TCCAAAGGTAAAACAAAGGAATGACCCTCAGAAGGCAGGTTGGAAATGAAGCTGGGAAGCTGAGAACAGGCAGATGTGGGTCTTTTTTTTTTTTTTTTTTAACTATTATTTTTATTTTGGCTATGCCAGGTCCTAGTTCCAACATGTGGGACCTAGTTTTCTGACCACGGATCAAACCTAGGCCCCCTGCACTGGGAACCTGGAGTCTCAAGCCCTGAACCACCAGGGAAGTCCCACGGTGACGGGTCTTATTTGCCACCACAAGAAGCCAGACAGCTTCTGACATTTTGGGAAGGACAGTTTATCCCTGGGGCATTCAGGTTAGGGTTTTAGCAACAATGTTGGGAATGAAGTTCGCAGGGGCCTGATCAGCTCACGGACCTGCTTCTGACTGGTTTGTAGAGGTAACAGGGTGCATGCTTCAGGAATCTCAGTCATCAGCCTTCAGGTTTCAGCCAGTCTGGGGTCTATGTGCTTGTGGGCAGCACGTGGTCACCGTCTTCCTCAGATGGAGGTGGGGGTGGGTCTTAGTTTCTGCAGAATGGCTCAAGGATATGTGTCAGATGATCTGTATCCCTCCAGGAGGAGTGAGGGATCCTATGACCCTACTGTCCTGTTACTCTTGAGTCTGCTCTTTGGAACTGGGGAACGCCTAGGAGATGAAAGCCTTCCTCCCACAGATAAGGTGAGACTCTGCACTCCCTGTGCAGGGGCCTGGGCTCAATCCATAGTCAGGGAACTAGATTCCACATGCTTCAGTTAAGAGCTGGCATGCCACGACTTACAGATGCTGCCTGCTGCAGCAAAAAGCAGGACCCCGCACGCTGCAGCTAAATTTCCTGGTGCAGCCAAATAAAATTAACTTAGAAAGATGGAGAAAGAGAAAAAGAAATAGAACAGGAGGACATAAATGGGCGTTGAACCCGGGAAGGCCCCTCGGAGTCCTGCCTGGTATCAAACCAAGGTCAATTTCCCTTTTAAAACGTTTAACTGGATTTTGTTTGGAAATTTTAGACAGACTCAGTATTCAGAACTTTCCCGAATGCTTACCATTTTATTTTTCTTTTCCTCACGCGGTGCAGAGAAAATGTGGTGGTGTTTTCACCACATCCGTTCAATGGCTCCTCCCCTCTGGTGGCTCAGCAGTAAAGAATCCACCTGCTGACGCAAGAGACACAAGAGATGCGGGCTTGATCCCTGGGCCGGGAAGATCCCCCAGAGAAGGAGATGGCAACCCACTCCAGTAATCTTGCCTGGAAGATCCTGTGGACAGAGAGCCTGGCAGTCCACGGGGGTGCAAAGAGTCGGACACGACTGAGCGACTAACACACAGCTCTGCTTTGGGAATGCAACATGCGTCTGTCCTCCCTTTGTGTGGTTTTCAAGGGCTGATGGCTGTTTTCCTGCAGACCCTGGGCCCCGCCCGCCTGGTCACTTCCCGTGTGACTGAGCCGCCCCACCCAGGCCTCTCGCTGGGACAGCCTGAAGCGTGGGGCTGGTGGGAGCCTCTCCAGGGATGCGATCCTGCCTGGCAGCCGCTGACCTGCGCTCCTGCAGCCCCGAGGGCAAGGGCCCAGCTTTCCGAGAACCCGCAGCAGGCAGGAAAAGCCAGTCCTCTCTTCCGCGGAGTGCCCGTGCCCCTCCTGTGCCAGGAGCTGTGAGAAGCTAAGGCCCCCTCTTTCTCCTGGCTCCAAGATTTCTCTTTCCTTCCTCTGTAGGGAGGGCACCACAGTGGATTTGCTTGTATGTGTATCACCGGCTCTAAGACTGAGCTCTGCATAAGGAACCCCGCATCTGGCAGGACGACGGCACAGCTGGATCACCTGGAGAGCCTTAAAAACATAGCGATGCCTGGGCCAAACCCAGACAGATGGACTCGGAATCGCAGAGGGTGAGTGGAGCCTCGGAGATTCTAACAGCTCCGCTGGTGCTTCTGGTTTGCAGCCAAGGTTGAGCTCCTCTTAGCTCCGTATCTGAAACTAGAGACCCAGCCTTTCGTCGACAAGAACTAATTTAGAAAAAGTTCAGTTTCAATCTCATGTCACCTTACATAAGTTTACATTCTGTAAGGAGGTGGAGCTGCCTGCCACCCTCTCGAGTTCAATATTTTAAAAAGATTTCACATACAAGTGAGATTGTTCAGTATCTGTCTTTCTTTGTGTGCTTTATCTCAGCATAATGCCCTCAGAGGTATATCCCTATTGTCACAAATGACAGGATTTCCTTTTTTTCCTTTCTTTTGGCCATACCACATGGCTGGCAGGATCTTAGTTCTCCAGCCAGGAGTTGAAGCCAGGCCCCAGGAGTGAAAGGGCTGAACCCTAAGCACTGGACCACCCGAGAATTCCCACGGATGCCCTTCTTTTTTGTGGCTAAATAGTATTCCAGGGCACATCATGTGTGTGTGTACGCGCACACATCATGTGTGTGTGTGCGCGCACACATCATGTGTGTGCGTGTGCACATCATGTATGTGTGTGCACATCATGTGTGTGTGCACATCATGTATGTGTGCGTGCACACACATCATGTGTGTGTGTGTGTGTGTGGTCCACATGTTTTAATCTGCTCATCTGTTGATGAACACAGGTTGTCTTCATGTGTTGGGAATAATGTTGCAGTGAGCATGAGCGTGCAGATACTTTCTCAAGGTGATGATTTTGTTTCTGTTGGATAAATACCCAGAAGTGGAATTGCTGGGTCATAGAGTGGCCCTATTTTTAATTTTTTAAGGAGCCTCCGTAACATTTTCCACAGTGGCTGCACCAATTTACAATCCTCACCGATTGTGCACAAGTGTTCCCCTCTCTCCACATCCTCGGCAGCACTTGTGATTTCCTGTAGTTTTGTTCGTGGCCTTTGTAACAAGTGTGAGATGATATCTCACCACGGTTTTGATTTTTGTTTCTCCACTGATCAGCAAGATTGAGCACCTTTTCATGTACTTGCTTGCCATGTTTGCATCTTGCGTACAAACTATCTTAAAACAAGTAATTTAATGAGAAGGAAATCATCAGAGGCCCATTCCTCATACTTTTTCTTACCAGAAACACATATCCTACATTTGCTGCATATATCTCCCTTATTATTTCTAGTAGTTTTAATTACATATTAGAGAATTTGACCCATAGAAACCCTTATTTCTACCAAAAACTAAGAAATGATTGTATACTATCACACCAGCTTTCTTTAGATTGATATAAGACAGATTAATAGGGAAAACAAATATGATTCCTATATTCAGGAATTCATAGAAATGAGACTCGAAGAAGTGACCAAAGCAGACAGCTTTTTTACTTTTCAAACAAAGAAACAACAGATTTGTGAAAAATTGACAAGACAGAGAGGTTTGGGCTTGGCGGCAGTGAATTAGTGAAGAAGTAACCAGGCTGTTTACACAGACTTCTCTGCCTTAAATTCTCAATCTCAGATGATGAGCTCTTTGCCTCCTGGTGCAGGAAGGGTACTTCCTAGGGGAGATTTATTTTGCACTTTCACGGGGACCAAGGGAGATGAGGTTGTTCTTCACACATTGGCTGTTTCTAGAATAACTTTAATTAAAAGTAATCAGTAAACCAACCAACATGGCATATTGTGGGGTGGCCTGTCCTGAGGCCAATTGTTTTCGCTTTAAAATAATCTCAGACGGTAAAGAATCTGCCTGTAATGCAGGAGGCCCAGGTTCAGTCCCTGGGGTGGGAAGATCCCCTGGAGAAGGGATTGGCAACCCACTCCAGTATTCTTGACTGTAGAATCCCATGGACAGAGGAGCCTGGAGGGCTATAGTCCATGGGGTCACAAAGAGTCAGACATGACAGGGCAACTATTTTCTATCTATCTACACAAACTAGGGGGTCCAGTGGGTCCCCACCATAGTAAAGTGTGTGGCTTAGTCACATCTTAGGACCTACAACTTCAAGGTTTTAAGGAAATAAAAGTATTTTATTTAATGTCTCTCCAGGATACATGTTCCACAAATAGGTATGATACTCCATTCTTCATAACCATACATTTTATTGCTTTTCTGAAACTCAGAAAGACCTGTTTCACAGCTGGATATCTCATCTTTGCCTGGAATGGAGGGGTCTGTGTCACAGAAGGGGTTGGAAGGTCTTTCACTTTCTTTATGGCTCCTTGTAGCCGATTCATCATCCAGTTGTTGATGGTGGAGAATCACTGCTGGATCAGGGACCAGATTATCCTTAATAATCTAATCACCATCCTGTTCAGAAAATTTTGGCTTTTCTCACTGGACAGCGAACTCTTAGAGATCTCCTCCAGACAGCTGAGAGGTGTGCTGTGCTGAGCTCTGTCAGTGTTTTACAAAAATTCTCTTCCTTGAGAACTGATCCTTATGTTTGTGAGACAGGATATTGTCCTGGGGCATTTAAAAAATGTTGCTTTCAATTTTACTACTTTAAAAGATTTATTGAGTGCCGTTGAACCAGAGGCCTTTGGAAAGGTCTTATTATGAAAAAAGCCTCAGGGTTGAGTAAGCCTTTTCCAGGAATAAGAAAATTAAAGATGATGAGAATCCAGGAAAAAAAGCACATGTGAGTATACATACAAACATCAGCCCTGTTTTATTTGACTCAAGGTGGTATCAATGGAACATCTTACTGACATCTGTGCCAAAATATCACATATCTTTGGCCTTTGAAAATTCAATTTTAATATCTTCACTCTGTTTTTAATGATGTTAGGGCTCTTTAGGAGTTCTTCTACCAATTTTAGATTGGTTTTGAAGTTTTATGGCATGAGGCTTGCCATTTTTCATACCAGAAGTTACTTTATTTGAATAGCAGGGTGTGTTTCTGTTCAAACACTGGCAAAGATGATTGGGGAAAAAAAGGGTGTGAAATCTTATTTTATTGCTACCAGAAAATAGTAGCCATAAGGTGGAAATGTGAGAAACCTCCCACTTTGTAAGAGGAGTCCAGTGTATCACGCCTCTTGGCTCCCCTGAGACAGGTGATGGATCCTTAGAGCTCTGCACCTAGTCACCGTACTGAGAGTAGGGCACGCCGCTCCTTGTCCTTCCGTCTCCCCGCCAGCCAGAGTGCCGACGTCGTGGCCAGAGGCTGAGCCAGCGAGCGAGACCGGAGGAGGCCCTGCCCTGAAGGCAGCAGAGTGGCGAGGCTGGAGGAGTCTGGCTCCCGGTGGCCCGGCCTGGCTCTCGTCTTGAGGCAGACACGGAAGGGGATTAGCATAGGCCGCCCCCAAATGTGCCGCTCTGGCACAGGATTATTTTGAACTGAGAACAGCTGAGGAAGAGCAGCCAGCAGGAGAGCTTTCTGCCCTCTCCTGTCCGCCTAAAAGCAGGGTGTGCACTTCCCCTGAGAGGGGCCCTGCGCCGCCCCCCAATACCAGGAAGGGAAAACAGCCTTTATCACAGCGGGTGGAGACCCCATCGAGATGCGTCTGCACAGACAAACCCTGTGAATACCCTTATCTTCCATTGGCTTCTCCCGAACGTGCACCTTCTCAAATTCACAGCCCCCCGAAGCCCAACTCCTTCCCCTGGTCTTGTCGTTTCTGCACGGATTTACCACCCTTTGTTTAAACAGAATGTGCGCCTCTGGGTCTGATCACCACTTTGGGATTTTCACTCTCTGTGAGTTCCTCCCCTCTACACACAGAGCGAGCATTTTTCTCCTATTAATACGCCTTTTACAAGCTTGATTCACAGATCACTGGAGCTGAGACGGTAGAGGAACAGGGCTCTTTCTCTTGGTCTCTACAACATCAAGGGAACTGAAATACAGGACTGAGGCGTTTTTTGAAAGGATGAGTTAGCCAGTCTTCTATTACATGCAAAGACAAGTAGAATAGTACAATGAACCCAATGAACTGTTGTGGACCCAGCACTCAGTTTTAGCACATCACCTAGGACTAATCTTGTTTCTTCTGGACCCTCACTTACCCCCTCTCCTCTCTACTTTTTGGCCAAAACTCAAGAAATTCTATCATTGCACTCATAAACATTTTAAGTTGTATGCCAACAAACATCCTTCTAGTCAAGGCTATGGTTTTTCCAGTAGTCATGTATGAATGTTAGAGTTGGACTATAAAGAAAGCTGAGCACTGAAGAATTGATGATTTTGAATTGTGGTGTTGGAGAAAACTCTTGAGAGCCCCTTGGACTTCAGGGCGATCCAACCAGTCCATCCTAAAGGAAATCAGTCCTGAATATTCATTGGAAGGACTGATGCTGAAGCTGAAACTCCAATCCTTTGGCCACCTGATGTGAAGAGCTGACTCATTGGAAAAGACCCTGATGCTGGGAAAGATTGAGGGCAGGAGGAGAAGGGGACGAGAGAGGATGAGATGGTTGGATGGCATCACCGACTCAACAGACATGGGTTTGGGTAAACTCCGGGAGTTGGTGATGGACAGGGAGGCCTGGCGTGCTGCAGTTCATGGGGTCACAAAGAGTTGGACATGACTGAGATACTGAACTGAACTGAACAACATACACACCCCTCCTCTTCTTCTATGCCCACTAATCCAATCACGGGCACCCACCTTTGTGACCTCCTCCAAGTCGAATCGCCACCCAGAGGCCCCACCTCCAGACACCATCACAGTGAGGGTCGGCTCTTCACTGCACGTATTTTGGGGGGAACACAAATACTTGGTTCACAACAGCGGAGACGTTCCCCTTCGCTGCTTTTCCAGGCTGTGGAGCTGCTCTGTCACGCTTTGGCTCTGGGTTACACACAGCCTTGCAGAGGCAGCTCTGTGCGCTGTCTGCTTACACCTTTGCTGGTGTACCTGTGGGATAGACGCCGAGAAGTGTGACTGCCGGGTCAAAGGGCATGTGGCAGACCTGCACCTGTGACATCACCAACGCCCTCCTTCCTTAAAGGTTGTATGGTTTCGCCCTCCTGTCGGCTCGTGTGAGGGGCCTGTGACCCCACTCACAGCCTTGTCAGTGGTTTCTTGCCCACCTTTTGGGTGTTCGCCATTGGAATAGCTAAATTATTTTTTATTGTGGTAAAAAACGCATACAGTGAGATATAGTTAACAAATGCTTGCACGCATAGACCGGCCTTGTGAACATCACATGTGCATGTTGCTGTGGAGCAGACCCCGGAACTCTGCCTCCTTTCAAAACCAAGGCTCCGTGGCCCCGAGCAGCCACGCCCGCTGCCCTCCGTCCCAGCCCCCGGCAGCCGCCCTTCTGCTGCCTGCGCTTGTGAGTTTGACAGCCTCAGGTACCTCATTTAAGTGAACGTGCACGGTGTGTGTCCTTCTGTGACGGGCTTGTTGGCCTCATCCTCAGTCCATGCACGCTATAACTGAGCTCAAGGTGAAAGGTGACAGGCAAGATGTTTATTGATAAACCCCAAGTGTCTTGGGGAACAGACAGGCCACAGGTCAGCTCAGGAAGCCCCACTGCCGGCTTTGGATCCCAAAATAGGGCTGTTTTCACCGTAAATACTATAAGAGCAGGTGGGCCAGAGCATCTGTATGGAATGTTTCAGGAAAAAATAAGGTTTCTTTCAAACAGCTCTGTGGCAAATGCCCAGTGGATTTTACACGAATGGAGTAGATGCAATCTGGGTCAGGCCTGTTCGGTCTCCTGGTCCTGCACCCCAAAGGAAAGATACGGGGACCTCAGGAGGCCTCCTGGCAGGAATTGTGCCCGCAGAGATGGTGCCACTCATCAGGTGCCAGGCAGCCGGCCTCCGACCCACACCCAGCTCCCCCTGGAGTTTCCTCACTGTTTTCCCGCCTCACAACTTAGCTCTGAGCCAGCGCTGGAAAATGGATTAGGCTATGGTGCTTTTTATAGGCTGTATGACAATTGTACAATGGGAGTAGGATAAAATGAATATGTGTAAAATAGAAGAAAAGGATCAAGCCCCCTGCCATCTCGGAGCCTCGGACACTTGGAGATTGGGTGAACTGGCCCCCTGCCCATTGTCCCCAGAGTGCATTCAGACTGGCGTTCCAGTGACACCTGCAACGGGCCTGATTCGCTGGCCACTGAGACAGGAATTCATGTGTCAGAGCCTTGTTTCGGTCTAGAGAAGAGTTTTAACGACACGGCAGAGCCAAGAGCGCACACAGTGAGGGCCCGGAGGCGTGCGTTTGGCACCCCTGTCCCTGCAGCATGGTTCTCGGAGTGTGTCCCAGACACGGCGACTTTGGGGAACTCGGCCCCTTGTGAGCCTGGTCCAGGCAGTCTTCCAGGGGCTTCTAACGTTTCAGCCACCACTTCGGTCTCTTTTGTCATGGAGTTCCTTTGCCTGAAGAGTCCACTCTAAACCTGCCTACATATTTAGATATTCAGACTTAGACATTTCTCCAGTATTCTCTCTTCTTCTCTTAAGAAAGAAGTCAAGGAACTTTGACTTTTAGGCAGGACTCTGTGAGCCCCAGATCCAGTCTGTGAACTGTTTCTGTACAGCCCTAGGAATGAGGAAGGCTCCACATTTTCAAACGTTCTTAAAAACAAACAAGCAAACGACAGAGAAGCTGGGTGACAGATACAGAAAGACCCTCAAAACCTAAAATCCTCATTGTCTGGACCTCTGGAGATGTCCATTGACCGTGTCTTTCAGATAATGTCTGAAGAACCTTGTTTAATTCGAGTTAAGACACCGCATTGTTTCCGTAAATGTGTTCTAATATCCATATTCATGGCAAAATAAAGTTGCTCCTCAAAAACAATGCTTTGATTTGTGGAACTGTGTCTGTTTTTCTGTTGCTTTTCATGACTGCCTGGCCTCTGGTTGGAGAGAAACAGCTGCCGTGCACTTCACTCCCAACTGACCAGTATTTACTGAGAGGACACAATGGTAAATAACGCTGAATTTTGCTTCAAGTCCTTAAAAAAGCACTGAGAAGTCTGATGGGTAAAGGGGTGCTGTTGGGCGCCGTGTGGGGGCTTGGGAGCAGAGAAGGGGTCGCGGACTCAGTGTTCGGGGCCGGGCTGCACCCCCGCTCATGTATCCTGTGCCCGGAGGGGAGACATTTAGGTTGTTTTCAGTCTTTCCTTTCTTCTCTCAAAAGAACCCTGCATGTGTAGCCTCGTATGCAGCCCATTTCATCTAGAAGAGACAGATTTCAGGGAGGGACCCTACTGGGTTGACGGCTCTAGGCTGAGAGACTGGGTACCTCAGCCTGCTGCGCTGCCTGGGAAACAGTGTCGCCAACAGTCAGCCTCTGGCCCCGGCCCAGGAAGCCAAGCCCCTGTGACAATCAGCCCCACGGTGGCCGGGACTTGATGAACCCAGCGGACAGCTTCCCTGACTTTTGCCGTTTCCAACAGGACCAACCAGAGGAATCTGAGAATGCAGCCCCGATGAGCCCCACGGACGCCCCTGGCCGGCCTGTCCACAGCCTCCCCACACCCGCAGGCTGCAGCCGGGTGCCCCGAAGCTCCCCTTCTCCCCCAGGAGCCTCCCCACACCCGCAGGCTGCAGCCGGGTGCCCCAGAGCTCCCCTTCTCCCCCGGGAGCCTCCCCGCTCCCTCCCTGCTGGAGCAAGCTCTGAACAAATGGTACTGCTCTCCTGCCCGGGCTTTGTCTTCCTCTGGCGTGACGGTCCTGCCAGGCAGTGGGCTGTGTCTCCTGTTGTCCTGGACCCCAGCCTGCAGCCAGGGGAAGCCCGGGGCCCCCCTGCCCCGCCCGCTCATGGTGCTGGCCTTGTGGCTCTGCATCGAGGGGCTTGGCTGTTGACTCTCAGTTTGAAACCCAGATTTTCTGGTTGTTTCCCACTCTTTTGGCATCCTTGGTGGAGTCAGGCCACTTTCTTTCATCCCTGTCTGCTGTCTTTTGCTTCACTGTTTTGCTTCGGGCTCTAAGAAGGAGACCAATAGGATAGGACTGGACTCTAGAAGCCTGGTGTTGAGCTGACCTCACAGATTCGTGTATTTGCCGCTCTCATCAGACCCATGTTCACTTGGACACACACTGCTGTGGCTGATCCGTAAGGCTGACAGGGTTCTCCTCTGTCCTGATTTTATGTCCCGAGAGCTGAGCTTCAAGAGAGAGTCTTCTCGCTGCTGTCCTGCCTGCCAGCGGCACAGGTTGTGGGGTCTACAGTTGGAGGTGGCTGGCTGTCGGGGGCCCGAGTCTTGGGGTTCACAAGCATGATGTCCCACTGACGGTCGCCAGTTCTCAGGGGACTGTCTGAGTCTAAGTCCTCTTCTCTGCACTGTCTTCAGCCTTAAACCTTGTCTGTAGTCATCAGGGAAACGCAAGTTAATCATGCAAGAAGTAATCTCACACCTACCTGATTGGCCGCTATCAAAAACATGAGAAATAGTGAGTGTTGCTGAGAATGTGCAGAAATAGAACTCTTGAGCACTGTTAGTGGGAATGTACATTGTGCAACCACTGTGGAAAATGGCAGGGAGGCTCCTCAAAAAATTAAAAACAGAACTACCACCTGATCAGCACTTCTGCTCCTGGGCATATATCTGAAGAGAATGAAAACATTGACTAAAGAAGATATCATGATTATTGCAGCATTACTTACAATAGCCAAGACATGGACATGACCCAAGTGTTCAATGATGGATGACTGGATAAAGAAATTATTGTACATACCTATCTATCTATTCCTTTCTGTCTACACCCCCCCACCCCCGTATACACACACTGGAATATCATCTGGCCATAAAAAAGAATGAAATCTGGCCATTTGTAACAGCCTAGATGGACGTTGAAGATCTCATGCTAAGTGAGATAAATCAGACAGAAAAAAATTGCTGCATGACTTCATCTATTTATGGAATCTAAAACAAACAAACCAAAAACACCCAAACCAAGTTTTATAGATACAGAGACCAGACTGGTAGTTGCCTTGCCAGAGGTGGGGTGAAATGGGTGGGAGAGGTCAAAATTACAAACTCCAGTTGTAAAATATGTAAGTCACGGGCAAGTGGCTTACAGTGAGGTGGGATCATAGCTAATACTGGATTGCACGTTTGAAGACTGCTAAGAGAGCAGATGGTAAAAGTTCTTACCACAAGAGAATTTTTCTGATAACAATGTATTAAGACAGATGTTAATGATACTTATTCTGGTGATCACTTTGCAATACATATACTTATCAGTCATTACATTATACACCTGAAACTAATATTATATGTCAATTATCTCTCAATAACAACAACAACAAAAATCAAAATTGATGAAACTGTAGGAGATTTTCTGGCTAGATTAGCATATCCCTTTGGATGAGATTTGGGAGTTAAAGCAGCGCTCTCATCTCATTTTGTCCGTGGAGCTTAGACTGACACTGGATACCTAATTTGAAAAGAGAAGCAAGAATGCGAACTAGCCCCTCAGCTGGACTGTAAGTCTGGCAGAACACATTGCAGAGAGCTTAAAATAAAAATGAGACAGAGCCCAGAGTACAGTCGTGGCTGGCAGAGCACAGTCAGTTGGTCCCAAACAGCTACTGACAAGGATGCTTGCAGATCCCAGAAAGGTCATCCCGTCTTACACACACCAGCACAGAGGCAAGACGTGAAGAAAAAGGAGCCTCCGCCAGTGAGGGTGCTGTAAAGAAGGAGACGCGCCCCGCGTCCTGCGTAGGTGAGCAGACGGTCACGCTGGTCGACTGCTGGCGGTGCTCTGTCTGCAT